TACGAATTAACAAATTTTTATTGATTTTGATTTGTTGATTGTAACGATTAATGTTCCCCAAGACAACTGCTAAAGGGCACTTTCCTGGGGAGACCTACTTTGTGCGTGTATAACTTGGATGTCTGAAACCCAGTCTTCAACAAACCTGGACATACTCACCAAATTTGCTCAAAAATTGTTAATTCATAAATTCATATTCATACGAATTAACAAATTTTTATTGATTTTGATTTGTTGATTGTAACGATTAGGTTTCCCCAAGACAACTGCTAAAGGGCACTTTCCTGGGGAGACCTACTTTGTGCGTGTATAACTTGGATGTCTGAAACCCAGTCTTCACCAAACCTGGACATATGCTGATTTTCAGCTTCATTTACTGAAACGGGTGGCCAACTGGGAAGATTTTCCATTACTACTGTTGTTTGGGTATAGTGAGGATCAGTTTTAATACCAGGCATGTTTTGATGGCACCAAGGCAGCATTTTTCTCGAGACAAGTCAAACAGGGAAAGCTCAGGATTCCCAATCTCTGTAATGTCACTGTCCAATGTGAAGAGTGACTGCGAAGGGACAAGTGTGGCTACTAGGTGCCCCTTCAACAGGCATTCAGCATCACCGCATGTTAATTCTGCTTCTCTGTGTTGTTCAGCACATGACAGATTCCAAGGATGAGCGTAGTATGTAGAGGTCAAAATTCTACGCGTTGGATTGACTCTGGGCTCCACAGATTATCAACAGCTACCAAATAGGAAGGTGCTGATTGTTCCATTGTCAGCGTTTCTCTGTGCTTTGGTTATTTGGCAAAGAGAAGGAAGCCTGTTTTGTAGCATTTCTAGAGATAGTTTAATGGTGAGGGAAACTCATTTGCTCTTCAGTCTGCATCAAAATAGGAGATGGATTAATGCAAATCCTGGATTATGTGCTTTCTGTCAGAAAGGTAAAAGAAGTTTCCAAATTGCTGTCAGAAATTGAAAAGAGGCAACAGCGGAGAGAGAAACTTTTCTCCTCTCTTTTTGGAAGAACAAACTACAAAAGCAAGGTGGTTGATCACAGATGAAGGGTTTTTTTTTTCCTGGGGGGGAGGGGGAGAGACGGTGCGGCTAAGGAAATTGGAAGATGAGAGGGATGTGACATAGATTAATAGCAGCAAAGCACTGGGGAAGGCATGAAAAGGGAAATGATTCTGGCGCTAATAGTAGCAGGGAGAACAGGATTCTTTTAGAAATGAAATGGTGTGTAAGCAGATAACAAGTGGAAATTGCACAAGCTATATTTTTCAATTCAGAACAAAATTTATCACTTCTAAGCTGCATACCTGTGCAAAAGAGAGAGAGAGAGAGTATAAGTGTTGTGTCTTGGATTTCGAAACGCACAGGAAAAGCTGTGTTAAACTATGCTTGAGTTCTAATGCAATACAAGGACCCAAACATTTACCCCAGTTTCCAGTCCTGGTCCTTCAGCGTAACTAGCACCTCTTTGCAATTCTCAGGCCTTTTTTCTGATTCAAAGTGGGTGAGGAACACATTGGGTGGTGGGGTGTGCCCCTGACCGCTCGGTCCGTGAGTCACTGGTGACCGAGAGTCTCTATTCAGACTGGCTTTGGATTTTTTCATGACAACAGGGCCAACGTTCTCAAGCCTGTCCAAGGGCCTGGAAAGAAGGCACCATGTTCACGTCCAGACCATGAGCCTAGTCCATTGCTTACCTATGTGCACCTCCTGTGCTTTTTTAAAATATGATTAGCAACTACAGGCATGAAAAGCGGGTGTGTGGAGCAGTTCCTCCTGGCTTTAATTTAACAACAGTGTGACTGCCTGAGGCAGAGTCTTTTGGAGGTACAATTCCTGGAAATTTAGAAGTTCTCCAACAGACCTCTGTAACCATCCCATTTCTAAGTGAGAGCAGCAGAGAAAAGGGAGGGGCAGCCAAAAAAAAGTGTGGAAAATCAATGTGAAAGATCATTTTTGTGCTTTACGCACCCTTGAAATTTGCACTTGAGTTTGGTGAATTTCACCTGCCTCTTCAGCGTTTATAATTTTGGAATTCCAGAGCTGGAAGGGATCCAATAGATCGCTGAGCCCGGCCGCTGTTAAAGAGGCACAGGGGGTAAATCAGATTCCCAGCCTCTGTCTGTGCAGCCAGATCTCTAAACCACTGAGCTTTCTAGCAGTGCAGAAGTAGCATTGCCTATAGGCTAAAGGAAATAGACCTCACACCTCTGTTTGGTGGACGTGATGGGGATGTGGAAGGCAAATGAGAGGGAGAGAGACTTGATGATGGAAAAATTAGAAAATTGGGAAGGGGCACTTAGGTGCCATTAGACAAATAGTTCATGGGAAGGGCAGGCAGAGCGGTTTCCAAAAAGGGTTCTTCAAGGCATGCAGCACGAGGAGCGGTGCTGCTAAAATCGAAATTAGCTGATTCATATGTCAAATTTATCCCTAAAAGAAGTGTACAAAGTGTATTCTGTAATGTAGAAAAAGTGCTGAAGTAGGTCCAGAAATTTGAAACATTTAATTCAGCTGACTTAATTTCTGTCTTCCCTGCATGTCCTAGACAGGGTGGAGGGTTAGTAAATCAGGCAAAATTTTCCATCCAGACAAGATTTACAATGACTTCAAAATTTTGCAGCACAAGGACTTTTCAAGTATTTTTTTTTTAGTTCTTTAAAGATAAAAGCCCAAAAGGCTGAAAAATGTAGCTTTCAAAAGAGAATCTAAATTGTCCCTGGAAATGTGGCTTATGTGATTATTTGGCATTGTTCTCAAAATGTTCTGTTGTTTTCCTTCTTTTTCCTTCCTTTTTTGGTCCTACTGGTATAGTCCCTGAAAATGGCATTGCTTTATCACATAGCGCCATATCCACAGATAATTCTGGATCCCTTTTGAAAGAATATAGCAGAAGCTTTTGTTCTGGATAGGTAACCTGATGAACAAATTACACATTGTGACTGAGTCAGTTCATCTGTCCCTAAGGTGTGAAGGGGGACTCTCAGCAGCCTAAGTGGAAGGGTAGTTGCTCTTTTGGACTGACCAGTGGAAAAGTGGATGCCATTGCAGATTAAATCACACCCCTGTTTTAAGAAGAAGTAATTACCGCACAGCGGTTTCTCCCCTCCCTAGGTTTCCATGGCAAATTTCCTTTGGACATAATGGGCTAGTGAGAGGGCAGAAGGCAGAAACATAAATTTTGTTGTATTTCCTGCACTGCCTTGTGCTTGAACGGTTCCAAGGCTTAGAAAACTGTCTCAGAGAAAGAGTTTTCTATACCTGTGCTCACAAAATAGAATAAATATTCCATTTCCCTATGACATGGTTCCCTTAGGCCATCTTGGTGTCATTCCCTGCTCCCCTAATTATCTGGAGAGACCATTGCTTAAATAAAATTAGAGTTGTGTTGCGTACTGAAATTGGACACATGCTGAATTAATCACCAAACTGGCCTGATTCGAACCAGTTTCTATGAGGTCAGGACTGAAGTGAAATAGCCAATTTTTGGAAGAAGCAGGAATGAAAATTGAATGGCGGATGCATTGTTCTTTCATTAAAATAAAATAAAAATAAATTAAATTAAGAGGTGTTTAACATGCATAACCTCAGAATCTAACTGTTTAAAAATTGGCAGATTTACCTGCCTCATTATGATTTCTCATGTGTCCAGATTTCACATATATATCACTGCAAAAACAAAAATGCTACAGCCATTTTGCTTTTTCTGTGGAAGTCAGTGTGACATTCACAGATGGACCTCCATCTGGGACAAAAATCTAATTGGATAAGGAAGCGGTCACTGTGGACTGAATAAGGGTCTGTTTGCACTGTCTTGCTTCAAACAGAAAAGTTAGGATGTTCTGATAGGAATGGGTTGTGCTGTGAAAATAGATCTAAATATCTTTCTAAAAATTTAGCACTAAAGCTTCCACTTGGCGTTAGCAATTGTTTTATAAGTGTTCGGATTCTGCATTGTTCACACATGTCTATGTATGATGATGGCCTCATTCCTTGTTTGCACCTTAACACCTTGTTGCTGTTTCTATCCATTAGTTACCTAAGTACTAATATTTATTATCTACCAATTTTCTCAAGATAGTTCAAGGTGGCATATTGCACGTGTCTTTTCTGCTTTACCTCCAGAATAACTTCCATGAGCTAGGGAAGATTGAGGGAGTGAATCCCCAGTAGGTTTCGTGTCTCAGTGGAAACCAGAACACCACACACACACACATACACACTAGGACTGTAACCCACAGCACCTCACTGACTCTTCCTGGTTCTTTTTATCAGTGTCATAAAACTGTTGATCAATCAATGGGGATCCATCAGTTCAGAAGGGAGATAACACTCACAGATGGCAGATCTTTCACGTGACAGTTTGACTAGCACTATGTCAATGATTGTGGACAATTTCATATCAAAAACATTGAAGCATACAACTCTACTCTTTATATCAGTGACATGGCAGCCCTGTAGGCTGTCTGTTTAATCCAACTCTAAATGTCCTCAACTCCCAAGAGTTTCCTCTACATCACTTTCAGAATCTGAGCCATGAACTAAATTTCCCAGGATGAGACCCTACACAAGACGTTCTGGCCTCTTCACGTAAGAGTCAGAGTAGAGAAGAATGGAAGGACTGGAGCTAAAAGAAATATACCCTGACTGTATTTATCAGGGGCACCCCAATATTGCAGGTTAAATCCAGTTCCCACTGTTGTGTTGAGTTAACCCATCCAAATAGTGGGATTTGACCAAATGTTGACCTATTTAGCCATGGAAACCGAAACAAAAGTATCAGTCATTTTATTTCATGTTATTTTCCTTTGGATAAAATTCCCTCCATCTCAAGAATCAGCAGCTATTAGAATGTGTAGATGTGTGTGTTTTGGAACACAGGTCCCAGAATCCCCCAGGGGCCGTGACCTTTAGTCATTATGAAAGCTACACATGGCTTTTCCTTTCTGTTTTTCCACTTTTCTTCTTTCTCCTTTCTGTTTGTTTCTTTCAGAAATTGACCAAGGGAGCTGTGGGGACCCAGGAGTACCCGCTTACGGCAGGAGAGAAGGGTCGACGTTTCGCCACGGAGACTCGTTGACGTTTGAATGCCAGCCTGCCTTTGAACTGAAAGGACAGAAAACAATCACTTGTCAAAAAAGTAGCCAGTGGTCCTCTCAGAAACCAGTCTGTGTTTGTAAGTCAGAGAGAAGGGACCTCCATGACCCATTCACAAAAGCTGGTTGAGATGTTGTGTAGTTTAAACATGTTGGCTATGAATGAACACATAGGTTATTGGGAAGCTGGGGGTTCTGTTTTTCGTTCTTCTCAGAAAGCAACTACTAAAAAACATGTTTGAAAGGCCTAGATGGGATGGGACAGGAATTCATATACAGACTGTATATAGTCACCAAGTTTGCTTGACAAAAAAAAACTGTTCAGAACTTGAGTCCAATTCTGATCCTCACCATCATGGACTGTCTATGGTGGTATCATTACTCCTGAACTCCAGCAGTGACATGGAGGCTGAGATCTTATGGCCTTTGGCACTGCATAACAATACACCTGCAGAAGTTCATGGGAGTCATGTTGGGGCAGTCTGTGTGTCTGATTGTGCCACTGTTTGTACAACTAATTGCACAACTGTACCAGCAGAACTGCTTCCTAGATATGACATCTACCTCGGTGCAAATTTTGCAACCGATTGCATGACTTCAAGTTATGCATGCATAGCTACACAACAGGATCTGGGCTAGAATATATACACACCACACAGTTATACCAATGTGGTGCCATTTTATTTGTTGTGATTCCATCCTGGAAAATCCTGGGATTTGCAGTAGAATGAGAGTTTTCAAATTCGGTGCTAGAGAAAAATTGTGCACTCCCATGAACGACAGCAGGGAATTCTGAGGCCCTCACCAAATTACAAATCAAAAGATTCCTTATAACGGAGTTGTGACAATGAATGTGATCGGAAAATATTATACTTTTGTGGTGTAAATACACTTGTGGATACAGAGAGGAGGGAGCCAGTGTTGGTGACAGACAGGGCAGTGAGCTAGAGCCCTATCATACAGCTTGGTCTCAAAACCAGAGATCCCCTTCACACCTTAAAAGATTGACGCTATTCTGGGGGTACCTCCATCCATTCACTAAGAGCCTTATCTTTTGAGCCTGCTTGCTATCACAGGTAGCACACATCACAGAGAGATGGCTGAGATTTAGCTAAGTGTCGATGATGCTTTGCAAATAAAGGGCAGTGGGGAAGAATGTGCTTGGGCTAGTCAGGTCCAGGAAAAATAAGAATAAGAAGCTAAGGATGGGCACATCTCTTTGTTTCCTTGAGATTTTGTTTAATTATGAGTTTTTTTCTTTATTGAGTATGAAGAAATTTGGGGAATTTCAAAACTGAATTTAAAAAAACACTTTCAAAGCTGAAATTTGCACATTTTCAAAAAATTCTTCAAAACTAAATTGAATTGGAATTCTCTTCCCAAAACAGAACTAAACAGAAACATTATACTTAATCAGATTCCATAGGTAAATTTATTCTGACTTGTAATGTGGCTTTTAAAAATGGATCTGGCAGCCCCATTAGATCCTAGTGCAGTTTGTTATCCAAATGCAGTTTAAATACAAAGAGATTCAAAGCCAAACTTTTAAGAACTAGGTTCACAATGCACTGGGACTGGATGATGAATCATTTACTTTCACTACTCCTTCAAATGATCTCTTTTTTCCCCTCAACTTCTTCTATCCAAAATGTGAAGAAATTTGCAACTCTTTGCAAATTTGGAAATTCCTCATTTAAAGAAAAACAAATTTTCACCTATCCCTATCTGAAAATAAACTTCATCTGGATTAAGTTGTCCATTCTATAGGATCTGACTAAGGTCCTGAAATACTTCTTTCCAGATGCCTGTATTTTCTTTAACCTCAGTTCTGACTAGGTCTTCTCATTCTTTGACTCTCTAGGCTCACCCACCCCATCAAAGACCAGAACTCCCTAGAAATAACTGACATTTAAATGAATTATCAAGTCAAGTCCCAGACATCACCACCCTAGTCAATCCTTCTGCCTTTTCCCCATTGATAGCAGCATCTTATAAAAGTAGTTACCGGGTGGTTGGGAAGGGTTTCATGTCATTGGAAGAAAAAAAGACAACTTTTCCACACTCTAAATCTGATCCCTTCCTCATTCTATCCCTGATCTAAGCCAATACTGGCAGGAAGCTGCTTGAATGGAGATGGCTTTTTTAAAGTAGCAGCAAATAACAGTCAGCATCTTGGTACAGTAGTGCTTCCTTGCTAGAAAAATTGTGGAAGTTGATGTACATCTCATTTCCTTAATACAAAGCAGGTGGCAAAAGATAATAAAAGCAAGAACGAGAATTAAGATGCAACTATCCCAATGACCAGAAAGAAAGAAAGAAAGAAAGGAAGAAAGGAAGAAAGGAAGAAAGGA